GCCATGTTGTTATTGACGCAATGCATTCTGACTTAAGACTTAAACACAGAGTCAAGGCTAAAAAGCTAAATTTAGATTTTTTTCTATTGTCTATATGTTCTGCACAATAGTRTGGTTTGGAATGATTGAACAGGATGATGTTTAGTAAAATAGCACTGGCTATTGCCAAATACATATTAATATGTGGCGTTAGCTCCCAAGTTAATAATATTAGTGTTAGCTCCAGAGCTAATATCATTAGCTCAGAAGCTAGCACCTTATGTAAATATTACTGAGATGTGAATATTAGCTCTAAAACTAACATCATATCACCATATACGTATATTAGCTTGGGAGCTTAATAAAAGCTAACAGGCTAAAGTTGAGGTGAGCGAAGCAGCTCTGTCGTCCTTCATCCACATTTTCAGTTTCATACTGAGTCATTTCTATTTCTTCTCTGAAACCGGACATTGTCTAGTGACAACGTTCGTGTGACATGCTTTTTTTTTWAAATTTATAACAGCGTAACAGCCAAGAATATTTTTACAGTCTTGATTTTGTAGTTGAAGTAAATGTTTATTAAATAATGTTGAAGATTACAACTTGAGATCCCTTTAAAGATAAATTGCAGGAGAGAGATCTAGAAATGACTAAATCAGTTCATCTTGGCTATTGACTGAACATTGGTTGTGGTAGGGTCTGATATTTGTATCCTTTGTCAGTTCTCTGAACACTAACACATCTTGTGAGATTTCCCAAATATAACTTGAAATGATACATCTCACATTCTGTGAAAGTCACAAATCCTCATGCTGCTCAAAAACAAAACACCACAAATACTTACCAAAAAGGGTTGTAAAAAGAATAAACAAGAGTAGAAAACTGTTTTTTTAAGAAGTTTTTCCTTAAAATAACCAAAAGCTATAGTTTAACAGTCTTTGTTAAATTTCAAGGTTTTCGGTGCAGTAAGGTTCCTTAAACTCTGCACCACTTCCAGTAAATCTTTCAAAGAATAAGAAAATGTGAATCTAARCTTGAAATGAGGAAGAGAAATTTAAGCACAAACTATAATTAGAATAGTAAACGATCCGTTTTTATTTGTTCACAGCTCAGTTTGATGAGATGAACAGAGGAATGTGGTTTGATATTATGGACATATAATTATGTTTGATTCCATTTTTTAAACATTTTCATTTATATATATAGTTTTGCACATTCTCTGAATATTTACTTTAACTTGAGCTGCTGCCCCCCTTGTGGAGGTCCCATTTTTGCCTTCTCATTATGATCTTAGCTTAAAACTCGGGCATGAAAAGTGGTGGGTGAAATACAGTCCATTAAATAGAATCTAGGCCAGGGGTCTTCCTGCGACTCTGGGGTCACATGCAACCCTTTGGTCCCTCTGCAGCGGCTCTTTGAAGCTTTGACCAAAACGAACAAAAGACTACATTTTCTGTTTTTTTTATATCCACAACACATATACAAAAGTGTTAAAACATCCTGAGTACTAAGCATTCTCATAGTGACACTGGAGTTATTTTGTAGTTTCAAAGATGTTATTTGGATGTAGATTTACTTACTCCGCACTGAAATGGAGACTCTTTCATTGTAGGAATAATTGTCGAAGCCCTTTATTTCAATCCTGAACCTGAAAGGCCCCGTGTCRTTCGACTGAAGAGGATCAATCATCAGAGTGCAATTTTTATTCTTAACGTCTCCCAGCAGCTTCGTCCGAGTCCGGTAGTTCTGCTGTATCTCAGATTGTTGTGGGTGAAAGATGGTGACTGTCTCAACGAACCACATTCCTTTGAACTCAGTGGGCGTCTTCGGTGGATTCGGGTACGAAAAAGAGCACGGGATCACCACGCAGGACCCACTCAGACCTTTAACTGAGGATGGCATCGTAGATTTCCACAAGGAAGACTCACTGTTAACAACTGCAATAAAGTGTAGGAACAAAGKGAAGTTAGACATTCAGAACTAAATCTGGTGTAGAGCTGGACCTAAATTTGATCAAAACGAATCATACCTTTACACAAAATGCATGTAAAAAAGACAGCCCAGCCTGAAGCGCCCATCTTCTCTTCAGGGTCCGGCCTGCRCATGAAAAAAAGTCGCACAGAAATGCTGGATGTGTTGCAGCTATTTATGTGCCATGACGYGTGATTCGTCAAGTTTCTGTTCCACTTTTGAAGAAGTTCCACACGTGCACTGGGCATGTATGTGTTATTGACCCACCCATTAACTTTAACTAAAGGCCCTGCCACACTATAATGTTTTAGACAACTTATGCCATCTTTTGAAAACATTTTTATGACTAAACGATTCCTATATGTTATATAATTTGATATAATCGTTAACATTGGTGTATGCATAAGTCCAAAAGAGGCTTCCAGTTGATTTTTTTTATTCCATCTTCAGTGTAGACATTTTCAAATTCAGACAAAACTTTCATAAGTTGTCAAATAAGTCACAGTCTGACAGGGCCTCAAAGAAAGACTAATCAGGAATAAACTATTTACTGATTTTACAACAGCAGAAAAG